AATATGAGGCTTATGATAATGAGAAGGAGTTCAAGTCTTTATTCGAAAGGACTAATCGCCACAGGCGAATAAGATCAAGAACAGGGGCCCTGGTTCACAGCAAGCAGCCTTGGCGGCATAGTTGCAGCAAAACGATGTCTGTTTCACGAGGAAATCAAGAACTAAACAAAACCCAAACCCTAAGTAGAACAACAGCTGCTAATTATAGAGCCCCAAACGTCGCTCCCTAATTGGCCCAAACACGATACATGGTCCAACGGACCAAAAGATGGTGTCGCAGTACCCTGGCAGATTCTGGACACTGATTTGTTTCGACGATTCCCGTTGATTCCGAAGGGATTTTGATGTAAGACTACTTGTATTGGCTTCCTTATCTAATTAGTTTTCTATCCATATGTGGATCATCTAAAACGGAGCCCGGACGCACCCGTGTGACCAGTTTTATTACAGACTGGTCCTGAAACCCGAGATGGGCTCGAACTTGATTTGGGCCTACACCTTGGTGACTCAAACCGGATGAGCTTCGGGCCTCCTTCTCGGTTAGGACACCCTCGCTGATCTCCTCGTCCTCTATCTCCAAGCATGGTTGTATGCATGGAGCTCTTGTCCTTATCAATAAGACCATCCCCACTATTTATGAGGGGATCACAATTAATTAAGAGATCTATCTATCCAATCAACAAAAAGCCATACTTCACTTTTTACCCTACTTTTGCCATCTACTACTGCTGCTCTGCTGGTTCTTCTTTGCTGCTAATATCTTATGGTTCAACGACGACAAAGCTCTAGAGTGGCCAGGTCAGCTAAGGCAACCCATTATTGCTGACACGCGCCTAGATGGGGTCCCTCCCTAGCATGCAGTGTGTCAGGTTTCAAGCGACGTCATCGGCACGTCTTAAGTATCGCACTCCCAACAAGTCTCCTCTGGCAATGTGCCATGCATATTGCGCTCATTGCTGGAGGCACCAAGTGAAGTGTTCATGTACGAACACGCTATTAGGTGGCCACTGATCTAAAGTCAGCTAGGCTAATTTCACCATGCCTCTACCAAGTGTTCTAGCTCTTTGTTGATGCATCAACACAATTATTTCATGAAAAAACATTCTTGTGTTCTAAGAAAAATCTAGGGATTAACCATTTCTTCTTTTTAATTTGCTTAGGGAAGGGAGAATTATATTAATTGGCATGGCATATACCTAAATTATAAACCAAAAAAACTAAAATTAAGAAAATATGATATCCTATATAGGAAAATCCATATATAATCTTCTTTCTTGATGGCCTTCATTGGTGTAGGAAATGCTACAGATGAAGAGAGCCTTGTTGGACAACCAAGGCAAAGTGCAATCCTCATGCTAAATCAGCCAACCAACCCAAAATATTGGACATATAACACTATCATATATATCCAATGTTATAGAAGCAAGCCAAAATTCATCTAAAGGAGCTAATAACATCAATAGTTTCATCAACAAGAACAACACATGAAGCAGAAACATTATTGCTTCCAACTCTTTATCCATGAAGTTGAACACTTGATTTCCTCTTTGTGGCCACCACTTCATAGGTAGAGACCGCAACCTAATGTGATACCATGAGATCAACCCATGTAATGGACACCGCGTCATGGAAAATATCAAAGTCATCGTAGGTAACAAGGTGCCGCTTCGCCTAGCAGCACAACACTTGTATTGCTCTCCCACAACCCTAGGCCCAACATTAGTGATGACCATGGCAACAGACTTATTTTGACAAGAAAACCAAAACAGTGTACTTGTGTTTACTTAGGCTAAAATTAATGGATGAGCAGCTCACCAAACGAGGAGGGAGCCCTAGGAGTGGCCGTTTACTTCATTCCCAGGTGATTTTGTGCACCATATATACGAGGATTTAATTATGATTCATCACCGGTGTACAAATAAAGACATCCTTAGGAGCTAGTATTCCCTATGAATGCAAATTATAGTACACACACTATAGTGGGAAGCTAGCTTCTTAGGGGGGCGACTCTCCAGTGTCGCCACAAACTCCGGCATCCTGCCATTCCTCCACCACCACCACCGCTCTTCGACCACTGTCTCTCAACAAGGTGTCATCCACAGTCACTCCCCCTCCTCCTTCCACTCCTCTACAACACCTCCTCTTCCCATGCATCTCAAGTTAAGTGGGCGGCCAGTGACTCCAGGGCGGATCTGGGCCCTCCGGGGCCTAGATCTCGTACCTTCCTCCCCAAATCTGGAGTGTGGCATGATGGCGACGACCTTGGTGTCTGGTGTAGGTATAGCGGTAGTCGGCGCGGCTACGTCCTGCGTGGCGCTATTCTGGGTGGTGGGCCTTGTGGTGCCTAGTGAGGCGTTGGCCCCGAGGGGGCTTTTGGGCGGCCTCCTTCGCATGGTAGTGCTTCTCAGGGTCATTGACGTTGTTGCCTCCCCCTGCCCAGGGTCCCTAGGGTCGCCCGGATCCTTCTAGGCCCTTGTAGCTCTACTAGGTGTCGTTATTCACGTGCTCGTGTTTCGCATTGCTCTAGGGGTGGCTCCCCTACGGTTGCTCATGCTCCACGATGGATGTGGTGGCTATGGCATAGCGGCATGGTCATCTATGGCCTCAGCATGGCAAGGCCATGTCCGTGCTGTTGTCCTCGGTGGCTTAGGCCCTGAGGGGGCGGTGCTTGGGATGCCTCAAGTGGCCATGTTGTGTGTGCCTACATCTGTGGGCGAGTGGATTCAAGGTGAAAACCCTACCTAGCTTCTTGCTCTAGGCGGCGGCAGTCGCACATCCTATGTCGTCTACCTTCTGGAGGCGTTGTTGAGGATTTGTTCGTCGCGCATGACACTGGGGGCAAACCTTGGGGTGAAAGTCCTTGTGTGCTTCTTTTCCAACGATGGTAGCATCTGCAGATGTCACTCCCCTTGATGAAGGCATCATTGGAGCACTCCTATGCCCGTGCCTCTACACCATCTTCCGCTTCTCTTGTTGGAGCTACTACTTGCAGTATTGTGCCTATGTGTGCTTCAAGCTCCTCTTCACAGTGGTCTGTCCAGATGTAATATAATGCTTGCTATTGTCGTAGTCATTTGATTTTATATAGCGGATACTTCGCCACTATCGCTCTTCTTCGGCGAATAGCTTTTTGTCGTTTTTGCTCGGGCGAATGTTTTGCTGCGGACGTCACTTCAGTCTCCCCTCCACATGCAGATGCTTTGCCGCTTCTTTCTCTTGGGTTGGGCTGTGAGGTGGAGGATCCTTTTTCTGTTGCCTCTTCTTTCTCTTGTTGCTTTGGGTCGGTCCAATTTACTAACCACTAGCTTTGTGGTTTGTAATCTGTGCTACGGGTTTTTTTCGTAGCTGCGTCATATAATTCTCTTCCTCTTAACGAAACACGTGTTCAGGCATGTTCACAAACAAAGGAGCCAGTATTCCTTGATATGTATGTGTTATATTAGAGTATGTAACTAGCTCCTACAACACAACTTGTACTACGTACGTACTGTAGTAGATATTATACTTACATTTTTGGCAAAATGGTTCGGAATGCAGTAATATAAAGCAAGTGAGATGGGTGGCATGCAAGCGTAGGGGAATAAACTAGATGGAAGGTCCTCCGAAGCGATCTTTGGCTCCCCTCCCCCCTCACATGGCAGCCAGCGACTTTCGGGCGCTCATCCGCATGGCGCATACATAAGAATATTGCAAGTGCAGGCGGCAGCAACCACCGGACCCCCAACTGAACACATGCAAGAATCTCCGGCCTCGCCTTTGGAAGGATCATGCTGCCTTATTTTAATTAACCGTACGTCTTTAGCTTATAATTTACTATTTCCGATCCAGATTAGTAGTCTACCAAAAGGTCGCATGTACTGTAGTCTTTTAGCAAGCTCATCATCTATCATAAGGCTCTCATTGCACTGCCGGTAGGAGGAGGAGCACGCAGTAGTAGAAATAAAGCTGGGTTTAGTTAGTTAGGTTCCCGAGGCGGATTGGAGAGCTTTTCCGTGACAGTGTCATCCGTCCTGTGATTGCAACATCATGGTCATGGTCGATCCTGTTTGGCTGGTCGAAAAAACGGTCGACGCTGATTTGTTACGAGAGAAAAATACTATAACGGTACAACCGAATAATTAAGTTCGAGCGAACCGGGCCGTCGTCGTCGTCGATGTTTGCACGGTAAAATAATCGTCTGACTTTGGAACATCCTGCTGCTTAGGTTCAGTGCACTGGATTTACTCTGTCAGAGAATGAGCAGCTGGACCAGCAGTGTATTTATATGTGCACACTGCACACACACGAGTGAATACGAGTAGCATGTACGTACTACACACATGCCCTCCGATATAAGTATATACGTCACCCTGTGGGCCCCTCTTGCATTGTGAGTTCCATGTTTGGCTCATGGTTCCTAAGTTCAAGCGAAGAGGACACATGATTAGCCCTACTGCTACTAGTATGTAGCAGCCTAGCTAGCAGGTAAGTACAAGGATTACCATGGCATGGAAGGTGCGAGAGGTCAACCGGCCTGCATGTGTTGTGTGTACGTTTCTCTTATTTCAGTGTTGTTTGCATATCAATACTGTTGCCATAACAAACAATACTGTTACTGTACGCAGCGGTGAGTGCTGGAAATGGTCGTGGTACAACAACAGTGGTCCGTGGTTGGTACAGGGAGCAGAGAGATGCAAACGTCGTTGCACTCGTACCACCGTGCGTGTCAGATGAAGAGCCAGGAGGATTAGGAGTTTCACTGCTCTGCTCACTCCAATTCCCTTAATTATTTTAATTTATCTAGCGATTTTCTTCCACAAAATATCTGTTTAATAAATATATATACTTATATAATGTTGTTATATTTGCATTAGCTCCCCTCTTGCATTGCAGCTTCCATCCAGCTCTGCCTCTCTGTCACCAACCAACCTCTCCCTCTCTCTCTCTCTCTCTGAGTCGATCTGTGATTGCTTGATATACTCGCTCCCCATGCTCCTCCTCTCGCTCCTGTGATCAAGCCAATGGCCACCAATGGCATGGCCCCCTCCTTCTTCCCCGCCAACTTCCTCCTCCAAATGCAGCAGCCCCTCCACCACCACCAGCAGGAGCACCACCACCACCGCCAACACCATGACGGGCACGAGCACGAGGCGGCGCACCATCTCCTGGCTCCCCCTACCCCGGCGCTCGTCAGCCCCTTCCTCCACGACTTCGGCGGCGCCATGGCCGCGCCGCCGCCAATGCTTGCCGGCGGCGGCCTCGGCGGCAACAAGCAGCGCATGTATCCCGACGGCGGCATGGGCGGCGACGATAGCCACCTGCACGCGGCGGAGCCCCAGCAGCAGGACGGCGGAGGCGCCGTGTCGGACGACGGGGAGGGGTCTGCCGCGGCGGGCGGCGGGTGCGGCGGCGAGCGGAAGCGGCGGTTGAGCGTCGAGCAGGTGCGCACGCTGGAGCGCAGCTTCGAGGTGGCCAACAAGCTGGAGCCGGAGCGCAAGGCGCAGCTGGCCCGCGCGCTGGGGCTGCAGCCCCGCCAGGTGGCCATCTGGTTCCAGAACCGCCGCGCCAGATGGAAGACGAAGCAGCTGGAGAAGGACTACGACGCGCTGCGCCGGCAGCTGGACGCCGCACGCGCCGAGAACGACGCCCTCCTTTCCCACAACAAGAAGCTGCAGGCAGAGGTATGTATGTAACCACTAACAGTTAATGCACATCCATCAAGATCTACTCCATATGATGATTCTCTTATGTTATTCCCCACAAAATGCATGCATGTATCTCGATCATAGAATTCAAGATCTACTTGGCCTGCCAGCTAGCAGCTTCGGCCCTGATCGCTTGAACTTATCAGCGAAATAACAGTGTTTTTCTCTCACAACAAATCAGCATCAGCATCAGTCGTTTTTTCAGCCTGCCTTCTCTTCTTGTCGCTCTTAGATCTTGATGATCAGCAGCTGCCAGTATTATACAAATTGTTGTTGGATTGGAATGGATCAATCTTGGTTATTGTTCGTTCTTGGCTGTCAGAATGCATGCATGATTGGGGGATGCATGGTGTAGCAGTAGCAGTAGCAGGATTAGGACTGACTGCTCTGCAATCCATAGATAGATTCCATACCATATACCATAGCAAGCTAGAGCTACTACTCCGTAGGTGAGGTGAGAGGATCCATGTGGGTTTCAGCGTCGTCTGCAGAAAGTGGGCGTGTCGGGATCGGTGCCGGCCATATGAACGCCTGCGCCTGCTGTCGGCCACGGCCACCCATGCCATGCATCTCCCTTTGTGATTGTTGTGTGGTGCATGCAGCATGATTAGCCACTCGATCTACCAATCACGTACCGTCGTCTCTCTTTCTGAGCCCACCGGCCGGCCCATTCTGTCCATGTCGTCATGTGGGTGAGCTGGTTAATTCGCGTCGTGCAGATCATGGCGCTCAAGGGAGCCGGAGGCGGCGGGAGGCAGGAGGCGGCGTCGGAGCTCATCAACCTCAACGTCAAAGAGACGGAGGCGTCCTGCAGCAACCCCAGCGAGAACAGCTCCGAGATCAACCTCGACATCTCCAGGCCTCCTCAGGCGCCGCCGCCGGCCGCCGACGACAGCCCCACCATGAACAGCTACCGCGGCCTACCGTTCTACGCCTCCGCCGCCCGCGCCGACATCGACCAGCTCCTGCACAGCGACCACCACCCGTCCCCGGCTGCCGCGGCGCCCAAGATGGAGCTCGGCCACGGCGCCGCCGACGACACTGCCCCCGCCACGGCGGGTGGCGGAGGAGGCACCTTTGGCAGCCTGCTATGCGGCGCCGCCGTCGACGAGCAGCCGCCGTTCTGGCCGTGGGCCGACGGCCACCATTCCAGTGAACAAACCCATTCATCAAGCTATATATGCGCCGTTGCGTATGATCTTGGGCGACACAGGTTTTGATATCCAACAGCACGTCCTCTTCTTCGTTTCTTGGCATCATCCCATCAATCTATGCGGTGCGCTGGACCGGAGGAGATCGCCGACGCCGACGTATGTGGCCGATGCGTTGCTGTTGAACAAGCAAATTGATCAGAGAAGCATGCAGCTAGGATATGTGAGGTGATGAGATTAGATCCAATTTGAGTTCAAGATCAGGACGGAGTGTGGACGATGCATGGATGGATAATATATATCAGTAGTCTACTAGGTAGATTTTGGAGTTGAGTAGTACGTAAGTTTTTTTCCTCTCCTTTTTTTTTCTATTATTATTTATTTTGCCCTCCCGGACTCTTGGTCGCTATTTTTCTGTTTGATTAATATTATATATAGGTGATTATTACAATTGTGAGATTCAGTGGTGATATTGTTGCATTGTGTATAGGATTATATATGGTACCTTGTGATCGAGTACCAATTGAGTTATTTCTTCACTCGCATGCACTCTTGGATCTTGCAAATTCTATCTTCTCTCTCTTTATTCATTACTTACTTGTGTGGATGGATAGATCTACTTTGAACCCAAACGAAATGGACATTCATACATATTTAATTTGTTTTTATTATTATTTTTCCAATATGAAGAGGAGGATGGATGAGTGATGTGGATGGGAGCCTTCATGCATGGGATGGGGTAGCAGTAGTACCGTGGTGGTGCGGTTGGTGTTTGGCATGTGGGTCTCATCTTCGAGCCTACGAAACAGACAGCTTGGACGGACAGACTGTACGTACGTTGTGCAAGCTGTACGTGCAGCATATGACCATGCATTTCAGACACATAATTAATTATTATTAATCAGTTCCTAAATACTATCTTGAGATGAAACAAAGCAGCAGCTGACTAAATACTGGAGTGTGTACTACGTAGTAGTACCTTTGAATTTGTTCTCTGGGTAGTAGTGTCGGCCAGCAGCACAAGACAGATTAATTAAATGGACGGAGTTTTACTAAATTACTACTCTGTTCATCACAAAACGTTGTCCGTGCATTATTGTTGGCTTGTTCACAAAACAGTGGTAGTAGAAGCGAATGTTGATGCCCAGCAGGAACACATGCATTGTCATGCCTGGAACAGTTGTTCTCTAGCTTATCTGGCCGCTACAGTTGATCATCCTTTTTTCTCCTGTCCTCACCGCGCGCACCACACAGCTGGTAGTTAAGGGCATGCTTGTGGAATAGAAGGAAAAAAAGAATCATGCAAATAAACGTAGGAGTGCGGTAGACACATAGAGATGCGAAGATGAATAAATTAACAAATGTTTGAAAAACACAAAAATTCTGTAGAATTTGGTGCTTGGAACACAGGAATGGCGATGTGGAAATTGAGGGCCTCATTTGGTTCACCGACTGCATCTCTACAGCTTGCCCCTGGTCGACTAGTCCCTTGCTTTCTTGCTGCGATTTGTCCGGGAACGTCGGGTGCTAACGAGGATTCCATTCACATTGATTAATTAATTGAGGAGCAAATCTCATCATTCTAATCTGATTGGCATGGCACTATAGAGTTACCGGAAAAGTTCAGACTTTTTCCACTGGTCTTGGGTAAAATAGTTTGGTTTAATCCGATGATCCTCCAATCCCACGCTCCAGGTATTAAATTTATATGACCAGCCTATAAATAAAAAATGACATTTAGACATTGGAGATGATTTAGGTCCAGCTATAGCTGTTTTAGGTGGATCTCCTTCGGCACTCGATAAAAGCACGTTGTCTGTATGTTTAAACTCTTCTTTTTAATATAATGATACGTAAATCTTTTGTATATTCGAGAAAAAAAAGACATTGGAGATGATTTTCTCGTTAATCAACCAAAAGCATTCAAGCTAACGTGGCACTCTTCGAAAAAGAAAATCAAACATCTCAATCGAATTCGCTTTAGAGCAACTTCAAATGTTTCTATATCCTTCCATATCAATACAGATGGAGATTTTTAGTGAAATAATTAATACCATCAAATAGCTTCTTTAACTAGATCTCCAAATATTTTCATCCTCTATTCCTAGTTTGTCATTCACCAAAGATAGAGAATAGTGCTTGCTCTCCAAAGTGTCAACAAAACCATATGTATAAATTCTTGGAAGGTGGAGAGATATAGATAGCGAATTCATTAGAATGGCTCTCCAAATGAGGATTTAGAGAATGGATTTAAGAAAAAATGTTGGAGATGCTCTAAAACGGCAATTACCTTTTGTAAACTTTATCAGTATGGGCACCTCTTTGCCCAGTCATCTTACTATATTTATCCATTCACTAGAAGGTAAATTCGGTCTAGGTCATGCTACCTTTTATTTTTAAAGTATACTATAAAACATGTTCGTGTGCTGTAACAGGACAATTTGTCGATCAATGCTTATGCTAGTGATAAACATCTAGGTATTTTGTTGGACTTAATTAATTGGTGGGCTTGGCTCAACCTTAAATCAAACAAATTTCAAGGCACATAATAAAAGCTAGTGCAATAAAGGATTACTTACACATGGAAAATTGACAAGAGATTGACTCAATTTAAATGGATGGCTATTGTGTACACATGTTGTGAGTTTAAAAAAGGTGAAAGGTGAGCCAAAAAAACGCGAGCCACGGGGGAGTGACGTCCCCACCATTTTTTCATTAAGAAGAAGAACTTCTCATGCAGCTCGTGAACACCCCCCCCAAACCATGGCCCCACCTATATACAGCGGCACTGCATCCCCGTGAGATGGGACGACCACAGACCTATACTTTGGTGTGGGACAAACGAGGGGATTTTATTATCCTCAAGCCTGAAATTTGCCCCCGTGGGGGATCGAACTCAGGACCTGAAAGGTGAGCCACACTCACGTCAAGACGCAAATGGGCTCAGGCGGCTAGGCCATGACATGAATTGTGTGGTGCCAATAAAGGTTTGGCACCTTCAAACTTAAAGCAAGATGGGTGAGAGTAAGAGACGGCGGATTGAGGGATGGAAGATGAGTGAGAGATTGACGGACCAGGGAGAAAGGGAGATGGAAGATAGAAATTTTCGCTTCTTTAATATTGGTGTGTGTATATATATATAATACAACGTACAACTTGTTGTGCGGTGTCGTGCCAATGATAATAAGTTATCTATTAGATTTAATTGAATAAAATAAAGTCTTAAAGCCCATAATAAATGCTTATGTAATAAAAGATTAGATTTAAATAGGTAGCTATTATGTGCGTCAGTCGTAGAAAAGATGTATACAAGCCACATGCGTGCATGCGCGCCACAATGCACACAGGGGTTCAAATAACCAGGCTATGATATAAAGAACAGATAAACAAGAGCAGTGAGCGACGGACGGATAAAAAAGAATATGAGACTAACGAAAAAATTACTGCTCTTAATATTAGACTAGGTAGCGTGCCTGTACGTTGCTATGGAATAACTAACAATTTATATTAAAAACACATGGATCGCATGATAAGATAACAATATTGTTAAATTAAATACCAACGTTAAAGTGATATTTAATCAAAAAGCAAAGTTTATGAATTTAACACAGTCACGGAGTGCGCGGCGTCGCAGGCTCACAAACTCCAGAGCTTCTAGAGATTGGGTCGAATCCAACCTAGAGCCTCGGAACCCTGCATCTTTTTCTGGACGGGCTTCACTTCGGATGTGCCGGTAGCAATATCAACGATCTCTAGTCGATAGACCAAGTCGTATGGATCCACATACAATGACTCAGACATGTAGATTTTATTCTCTTATACTTGGATACACTTGTTCCACTGAAGCTTTCATTAAAATATTTAGACACGAACAGTGTCTGATCACCGATGTCCCTCACCCTGGACCATTCCGGCGTACGGTCATGGAGGTTGCACTTGTAGATCACGCTGCTATAGGTGAAGCTCTGTGTCTCGTGGAACGTGCTCACCATGGCACCCACAATGTGCAGCTCACCGTTTGATTCCAGGTAGCTGCGGTGGCAGAGCCCCGCAGGTGGCGACAGCGATGGTAGCAGCGTCGCGGTTGGAGTAGCGCCGGCGGCGTTGCTGCTGCAGACGGAGATTTCTCCAGTGCAGTCGATCGCCAAGAACTTGTCTTGGCAGTGAACGATGGACCCCACGGAGAACTCCAATTTGGTGTCGAGCAGCGTCCATGCGCTGTCGACTCCAACCCGGCAGAATGCGACCTCCGTGGAGCACCCAAGCATGGCCATGGCCACGCACTCGCGGCCGGCGGCGTCAGGCGGCACCGAGAGCACGATCTCACCAAAGAACACATCCCTCATGTCTTCTAACTTGATTGCTCTGCCTGCGGCATCCGCGTCCCCGTAGCCGTTGGTGTGATGGAGGACCCACCGCCCGTGGACCCTAGACATGCGTTCCGATGAGGACGTCGCCGCGACGTGTTCGCCTGCTGGCGGGAGCTCAACGCGGGGGGCACGGGCACCGGCGAATGGATTCAGCAGCGTCACGGACGCCGCCTCGTCCATGAGCGGCAGCCACCCACACGAGGAGCCGCATGCCACCTTGCCGCGCACGTCGGGCAGCGTCTTGGACAAGACCTTCTTCTCTAGGACACACTAGAAGCCGACGCGGTCCGAGTCGGGGTCGAACGGGAGCAGCAGGAGCGGCCCGAAGGTCGCGAACGGGACGGCGGCGCGCCATGGGGAGCAAGCGGATCGGAAGGACGCCGCGTCGTGGCCTGACACGAGACGCTGCCCGATGGACTCGAGGAGATCCTCTGGCAGGCCGGATCTCCAGTCAGGGAGAGGTAGGGACCTTCTCTTGGGATTAGGAGGCTGAGTCATGGAAGACAGATGACATCAACTATGGTTCACGCAAGAAACAGCAAGCGAGGACGATGGAATACGTGAGCGTGAAACCAAATGAAAGGAGGAAAAAGTTATCCCTTTTGTAAATGCAAAGAGGAGAAGTAAATAAATGTATACATATTTGGTAAGGTTATCAGAAATACAAGGAGGTTTCTTTTGTCTTAATTCTCTTTCCTT